GGACAGCCGTGCCCAGCAGCAACGGCCCCGGCCGCACCCCACGAGCTGCATGGCACTGGTGGTCCATCACAGTCCCCTCCCAGAGAGACGCCAGCAAGCCACCGCCGAGGCAGGGACAGGAGCCCCAGGTTGCCTTACCCAGCCGCCGGTAGCCCTCGGTGCCTGTAATGGGGCCCGGCGCCAAGCTGTTCACTCGGATGTTGTTGGGTCCCCACTCCACAGCAAGGTGACGGGTCATGGCATCTGGGAAGGGATTACAACAGGAATGAGAAATGGAGAGCAGAGCCATTCTAGTAACTTTCTGGGGGGCGGGGGGGCAAAAAGCCACAGGAGACTGGCCAAGAACAAAGGGCCCTAGAAGAGCCCTGGGGGAGAGAAGAGCCTCACCCCAAACCCAGGCACGTAGTAACCACACCGATTCATATTCGCCTCTCCCAAGGACATCTTCCCATCCCAATATTCGGGAAGAACCGGCTTCCTTACTGGCCCCACACAGCTCACAGAGCCCCAGCAAGGAGCCTTTAGGTACCTATGGCAGCCTTAGCAGTACCAGCATGCACCTGGAGGGCCTGCCCTCGGTAGCTCAGGGTTGCCGTGATGTTAACGATGACCCCACCGTGGTCCTGGGGAAGGAAAGGAGACGTGGCGTTAGGCAGGGAGCAGCACAAGGGGTCACGCAGGGGAGCGGTGGGACAAGAGAGCTGGGCTAGGAGGGACGGTCGCCCTTGGGCACTGCCACCTCTGCGTTGCTAACCCGTCACCGGGGCAGCACCGCTCACACGGCCTCGCTGAGCCGGGGCAGCCAGCGGGGCCCTTCCAGAGAGGCGGGAGATGCGGGGGACAGGCAAAGGCCGAGGGAAAGCAGAGGAGCTGGAAAAGGAGCAGCTGTTCACAGCTTCTTCCCCGGGAGGTGGCAGAGCGTGGAAAGGTGCCACACCAGTCAAAAGCCCCAGGGCTAGGGACAGGCAGGATTCCCAGTTCCGGCACAGGGACTGCCATCCCTGGGAGGGAACGGACTGGACCTGAGCAGGGTGGGTGGCAGAGGCCCGGCAGCGCAGCCCTGGGTACACGGGTGCTGTGGTCCCTTCTGCCCTCCACACTTCCCTGAATTTCTCAGGAGCAAAGCGCGGTGTGTTTGACACTAACCCCCTGCCTACCAGGAGCCTCTCCACCGAGTCCTCTGGCTCTGGCTCCACTTACCCGGAAATATTTCTCAAAGAGGACTTTGGAGGTGTTGAAGGTGCCGATGGTGTCGATATCTATCACCGTTTTGAAGGCGTTGAAGGACAGGGCGCTGGCTGGGCACAGAAAGTTTCCTGCAGCACCTGAAGAACAAGCAGCCGGGGCCACAGTCAGGACTGGGCCAGGAGAGATCAGGCAGGTTCAGGGCACCTTCTGCGAGCGGGACGGTGAGCGATACTGTTTGGGTAGACCGGAGAGCATGTGGAAACAGCCCTGATAAGGGGATAAACAGCTTGTGGCTCCGGGTGCCAAGCAGCACGGCCAGCCTGAGGGCAGGAGGGTGCTGGTGCAGCGAGAGCAGGGATGATCGGGTGGCCATGCATTAAGAACAGGCCTTTGCTTCCTCTGAGCCCATCCCCTCCGCGCTCCCAGGGGCTGCCCAGACACTCCCAGGCCAAAGCCGCATGAGGCAGACACTAGGCAAACACAACCCCCATGCAGGAAAACGCCCTTCCTAGCAGAGAGTCTGTGCCAGATCTTCCCTCCGCCCGCCCCAGCAGCCCACCGTTAACGAGGATGTCAATCCGCTTGAACTCTTTCAGTGCCTCATCCACCGCTGCCGCAATGGTTTGGGGCTGCCTGACATCTATGGACAGAGGCAGGCACTGCGGGCCCGTAGCCGCCACCAGATTTTTAGAGGCCTGCCAAAAAAAAAAAGAGGTGAGATTCTTTCTGGGACTCTCTCCTTCAGCAAGGGTTAGACCCAGACCTCATAACAGGCGAGCAAGAAGTCGGGCAGGAGCCACGTCCCCGTCAGCAGACAGCAAACGCTGTGGGCAGGGGAAAGACCTGCTTAAACACGGCCAGCTTCAGCCCGGCGGCACCCTGCAGCTAAAGCCCTGGGGTAGCCAGAGAAAGGTCCTGCGAGTTGTATCCCAAGCGAACGCCAGGCTGGCCCTGAGGCCACAACTCGCTAAGCCCAGTCACCTCTGTGGCCTGTCATCGACGCAGCACATGCCGAGCAACATCTCTGCAGGGCAAGTACAAAGGTTGGACCCCAACAAGGCATTTCTGGCATGAGCCTAGACATAATTAACCTTTAGATCCAAAAAATGTCAGCAGGCAAAAGGGCAAACACAGACCAGCAGTTGCCGGGGTCTCTGCCCGCCAGGCAGAGCAGGCCAGCTCTGCCGCTCAGCCTCTGCCACAAGCCACCCCCGAGGCGCTCGTTAAGAACGTGACTCCCCTCAGCAAACTAAGCACAGGGGACGCGCAACGTCAGCAGCAACCCTGCACAACACCCTGCACAACACCACGTTCCTGCTCAGGCTCATCGGGGCCCTTCCGTGAGAAGCTTTGAGCCCCGACTAGCACACACGTACGCCGAGCGTCAAGAGCCTGGGAAAGCAGTCCCTGTGTACTCAGAAGACCCCAGCCCCTGAGGACTAAAAAGCTGCTGAGCTTTGCAGCTTGTTTTCTGTTACGCGAGCATGAGGGAATGCGAAGTGACAGCACTAACCCCCTCCAGGAGGCAGCTGGGTCGTGCCAGCTCACTCCCAAGCACCCATTTTGATCTTTGCTGTATTTCAGTGAACTCCACACGCAGCTACCGCAAAGCTCGCTCGCAGCCGCTTTCAGCCTCAGACCGTGGCACAAGCCACGGCGAGGAACGGGAACTGTGGTCAGCCAAACTCCAGCCCGGGGTCAGACACGCAGGGGCGGCTGTTTGTTCTGCCCAGCCGCCCACAGGGTAGCTACAGTCTAATACAGCTCCTTCAGTCACCGCCCTCCAGACCTGCATCCTACCCTCCATCTCAAGGTGCAATATAACTCAGATTCTGAGGCTCAGAGTACCCACCTCAACCCACGTAACCCTTGGACAAGGGGGCCTTGCCCTGCTCGAGGCTGACATTTAAGTTTGACCTTGGGCTCTGCCACTTCCCTGCTGACAAACCCTCACCGCGGTTTGTTTCTCTCTGTCTCACCAACGAAAAGGCGGTGCGATACCCGGAACAGACACTCCCAAAGCTGGCGGAGGAAGGTATTTCCACAAGTAACTGAGCCCTACCGCGAGATGCGGTAGGTGCAGCCAACCCTAAGCCCGCACCCATCCTACCCATCACTGCTCCCTGCTGCCGCCGGAGCACTCAGAGCCCGGGAGAAGACAGGGTAGCACGGGTGAACCATTTCTCCTGTTGCACCACCCCAGGGCTCCCAGTTCCATCCGGTGCAGAGGGCAGAAGGATTGCTAGCCGTTCACGGCTCTCCCTACTGCCGCCGGAGG